AAGTCATATCAGCTCATTTGCATTTTATATTCTTATTTCTGGGCTACGGCTTAAGTTCACTTAGGGTATATCAAATTCTTCTTCGATATTCGCTGCCCTTCTACTATTCTTTATTCTTCGCATCAATTGATCAGTCGGAGCAACCAATCTCAGCTGTTTTCATTTCCACTTTGCAGCAAGTTAATTGATCTCTTGTCATTATCAGTTAGATCTAATTGAAATGTGTTTGGTTTTATATAAAACTGCGAATGTTAATTGACAGCCTTGGTGATCATTTAGAAGTTTTCGCTAGTCGCGTGACAGGTTAATCCAAAACTGGCACGTGATCCACGTTAAGGAATGCTCCCAGCTCGACATCAAAAATATTTGCAATCAATTAACAAGTCGTCGCTGCTCGGTGACAACCTGCAAATGGATTGATTTGTCGAAATATATGTAAATACGATGATTGGGAGCGATCGAATGTTAAACCGGTTAGCGAGAAAATCAAATTAAGTGCTAATTGCCTCGAATTTGCTCGCTAACTAAACTGAATCCAGTTTTATTTCTTTCCCGAAGAGAGAGCCCAGCCGAAATCTGGAAATATTTCTAATTAGCTGACATCTTGCAAAGAAGTTTGTTGTCAGCAACAAATATGCCAATTTGGTGGCGTGTTGACATCGCCAGGTCGGAAGGCAGCGATAGGAGCACTTTAACCCAACTCAGCCCGGGACAACTATGGCTAGACTTTTGAATACCCCTTTCGAATGTGGGTAAATACAAATGATTTGTAAAAGAAGTGGATGAAGCCATCCAGTTGATATGTTCTCGAATGAAATTAAGTCGATTCCAACATTTTAATATTCCCATCTTTCCGTCCTTCAGACTATGCGGCAAAGTCGGAAACTATACAAGCTCTAGACCTCCCATTTTAAATGTATATTTGTATATACTCTATATAGAGAAAGCTGGCATTTAATTACAATATCTGAGAACATTTTCCTGCAATTGATAAATATAGATATTTATACCCTGAACCCATTGAAAATGGGAAATAAGGGTATAATGGTTTTGTTGAAATGTATGTAACAGGCAGAAGGAGGCGTGGCAGACCCCACAAAGTATATATATTCTTGATCAGGGCGACGAGCTGAGTCGATTTGGCCCTGTCCGTCTGTCTGTCTGTCCGTCTGTCCGTCTGTCCGTATGTTTGAACGCGTCGATTTCCGAAGATATAAGAGCTAGAGACTTCAAATTTTTTTTAAAATGTCCGTAATTACAGCGCGCATATCAAGTTTATCATTAAAAATCGATAACTCATCCCGATCTTTTTTTATCGATAAAAAACCTTATCGAATACCAGGTATAAAATTATATCTTCTACACCTTTATAGCTAGAGTCTCCATTTTTTAAATGTATTTTTATATGCAATTTATACAATTTCGGTTTTTGTTAAAATTTACCCCCCACCCCTAGATTCACCCCCTCACCCTCACTTTTGTAAAAAACGTATTTCAAATACTAGAGACTTGTGCTTTGGCAAATACATGCATATCCATGTTATAATCATAATCTGAAAGTTTCATGAAGTTCGTACGTTTACAAAAAAAGTTATTAAACAATTAATTTCTCATAGTAAGCGATCACTGCCGCCCATGCGTGTTTATGCTTGTGTGTGTGTGTGTGTGTGTGTATGCCTGTGTGTGCGTGCATGTGTGTGTGAGTGTGTGTGTGTGTGTGTGTGCGTGTTTCTTGTGTAAGCTGAAAGACGCGAAAAATGATTGAAATAGCTATTACTCCAAGGGTTCAGGGGATCTCGTAGTCGAGCAGTCTCGACTAGAGCTTTCTTACTTGTTTTAGTTGATTTTTAAAGCGTATAAGGCCATTACGAAAATTATTCGTTATTTCAAATGTTAGAGTCTTGAGCTAAGATAGACACAAGCAGATAGATTTAATATTCATGCTCTTAAAAATTCATTAAAATCCCACATCTAGAGCCAGAGTTCAAACAGTCTGTTTTGTATAGGAGCAGAGCCAGTTGTCATCTCATATTCCATATGAGCTCATGTATGTGTTATACAACAATCTTATTATAATATCTACAATTGCGGCATCTGTGCTTGGTATCTCCTAGTCGACCAGAACTTTCTTAACTGTTCTGTCAAGCTTCACTTTTACTGCTGCTGCTGCTGCTCGTGCTGCCATCGCAGCTGAGCGCAATCAGCGTCTGTCAATCGCTGTTGCAATCTTCAGAGTTGGCTGTCATCGCAGCAACGTCTTGAGGTATTCCGCTGCTGCACCGTTGTTGAATTTTACAATTCCAACGTGAGAGAGCACGGTGCGGGCGTTGCAGATGTCGTCTTGCTGTCGTCTGCTCCTCCTCCTCCTTCTCCTCCTCCTCCTCCTCCGCGCTCTTTACTTATGCATGAGCTAAACAGATGAATGCAAAATGCAACATTCTGGCACTTATAACCAATTTGCTGTGTTGCAGGTTAGACAGGCAACAGGAAAGTAGAAGAACAATGGGAGAAACACGGAAGAGTGTTTTGTTAAAGAGTGAATGACTAGCAGATACCCTGTAATCTATGTCGAACTGTTGTTGAAAGTATCTTAGATGTGATTCCTTGTATATGATTCAATGGGATATTGAAATTGGATAAGGGATGATGGAAAAGCAATGTGATAAAAGGGCAAATGTAAATACAGCTCTAGTTCGATATATTGGGAATGGGTAAAGAAAATCGAAATAGACAATCCATATAAAAAAAAGATTAAATATTTTAAATATGCTAGAAAAGCAGAAGTTTGTTATAGATTTCATGGAACATGGAAACTGAGAAGTGAGAATAGGGAGTTGGGGAAGTATGGAATAGATGCTGATATTTTAGAAGATTAATATTTTCAACATGTGTTGAATTCATGACACGCTCATTCCATATCTAAAGAAGCCAATTTACTAATGAGCGAGCCACTTTCTATAGGCAATTCCCGGGAAATGGTTTCACATTCCTTCCGATAACTAGACATAACTTCCACAGTGCTATCGACTTTAATCAGCCTCAGCGCTTAATTATGATTGATCTAACCTCATCCATGTCCCTCGCAAACTCTGTACACAAAACTAGCATACCCTGCTGGTGCAGTTACTTTTCCTGGTATGCCTGGTTTATCACTTACCACTTACCACTTACAGCTCTCCCAATGGGATCAACACATTTGAGTATTTAACATGTTTATGCCCGCTTTCGCTACTTACAGTCAGGCGCGGCAAGCAGCAGCCAAGCAAGATGACACAATGCGACGATGCGAAGAGTGCGGCTGACGGTCCCGCTCAGCCATCACATACTAAATTAGACATACACAATTTCTCCGAGGAGGACCAGGACAATAATGGCCCGTCTGAAATCGTTGGCGTCCGCGATGGAGCCGAGACGCAGCCACAAAATGCAGCAACAATAATTTTAACGCCGACATCATTAAATTTAACAAACCCGCCGCCGAATGCAGCACACAACAATGGCCGGCCGAATGCAGCAGACACTGACACCAATGGACGGGGTTATTCAGCGCACGGCGAGCACTACAAAGGGCCCAAGTGGTAAGTGGAAAAGGCTCCATTGGGGCGGCAGCTGTAGCTGGGGCAGAAGCGGGGGCAGGAGCAGGGGTTGCTGCTGGCGCTGATGGGGCCTAAGCACATTTTTGGACTCAGTTCCTTGGGCCTTTCTCTCTCCCTCTCTCGCTCTCGCTCTCTTTGTGTATGTGTGCGCTTTTGCTTAACTCTTTTGAATGCACTTCCGGCACAGACAAGCAGACAAACATACATACATAAATACCGTTAGACATACATGCATGCACACTGGCAATGCACGCGTTTTTCGCATATCCCTTATATACCCTAGAGCCCTTTGAGTGCGCTAAAGAGGTATGCTTGAGTTTAGCAATTGCAGCAGAAGAGGTCAGCGAGCCTAGCAGGTATAATATATATAGACTTGATAAGCTGAGTTGATGTAGCCTTGCTAATTGATTCGTAGATTTTCCTAAATTAGACTGTCCTCCATTAGAATGTCCTTCATTGGTCCGTCTTACATAAGTTCGCTCTTAATTCGACCTTCAGCTCTTCATTAGTCTGTCCTTTATTCATCCGTTCTTCATTGGTCCGTCCTTTACTTATCCGACCTTATTTATTCCGTCATTCATTCATGCATTTCTGTTCTGTCTATATTTAGAGGTACGACTATCTCGGGAGCTATACAAACAACATACTTGAAACTTGAAATATGTATCCTAGAATATCATATAACATCATATTATAATACCTTGTTTCTTATGCATATCTTGAACGCCATAAAGGCTATTGCTACCAATTTTGGAAGAAGGTATCCTAACATCCTAACAGGAATATGAGTTATAAAATAACTCATTCCAAATGACAGACGCTCAGGCTTAAAGCACATACAAATTTGGCTGTCATAGTCATGCACTGAGCATTTCGTTTAAATGGGATATCTGGAACCAGAGTTCAATTAAACCATTTGTCATAGTAGAGAACGGAGGGAAAAAGAGCCTCATCAGTATGTGTATCTTATGTTTGTTTAAGTGTGTGTGTGTGTGTGTGCATAGCATATGCCTTGATGACGGTGTTCGGGTATCTGCTAGTCGTGTACACCCAACGCATTCACTCCTACTTGTTGTTGAGCTTGTTGCTTATTGTTGTCATACATTACATTTTGCTTTGTGTTTATTTTATGTGCTGCAAATGTTGCACTGTCAGTGTCTGCTATATTGTCAAAAAGTGTTTCCGTTGCCTCGTCTGGGTTAGGACTCTGCTCCTGCTTCAACTTCTTCGTGTGTTTTTTCTGTTTTTGGGGGCTTGGTGTTAAGCTTTTATGCGCAGCGTTGATGTGCCTAGTTTTTGGGCTTAGAGGCAGCATTGAATTGAGTGGCGATATTATTAAAGTCGACTAGAGAACATCAGAGAGATTGTGTAAGGTGTGTGAGGTGAAGCTCCGTGGCACAGCGGCTACTTTGACAAATTGATGAGCAAGGCCAGAAAGCTGTATGCATTATTGATGGTCTGCAGACAAAGGGGTAATTAATTAAGATGAATAGATGATGAATATTGGGCTATGCTGACCTTCATAAATATGGGCAGACCTATTTCAAAGAACATGCCCGCACGCAGTTTGACAGGCCGTTTCAGGGACTCCATGTAGCAGTTGAGGATTTTTCGCGTAGTCACCGAATAGTCCAGCCAATTGGTGTTAAATACGCTGTTTGTCAGCTGATTAGCCGAGACGGTCAATTCGTTGCCATAGTAGCAGGGCAGAAAGATTTGCACAATCATCACGCCCACAAACTGTAGAGTCGTCGCTAAGCCGCCTGTGTTCGACTTGCCCATTTGCACCACACGATAGAGGCTGAAGCAAATGATTAAAGCGCTCAGTACCACCTGCGAGACGACGTAGGGCGAGACCAGGATCTCACATTGCTTTGTTAGACTGCGAACGCGCTTGTGCAGCTGAAAGAGGTGTCGCAACTCTGGAATAGCCTTCACCTCGGGCGCTTCCCTCAGCGCCAGCAGACGTCGATTCATGAGCCGATAGAGCAGAGCTATGTGAAACATGAAGTAACAGCCCATCGTATCCAGCAGGCAGTTGGAGAGGCAGGACAAGCTCATGGCCAGCACATTGTAGCCCCAGGCGTAATAGTAAAGCTGCGGATTCTGCCACTCGAAGGGCACGTAATAGGTGAAGGGCAGCTCGTACGACTCCTGGTAGAGTACGCTCAAGTAGCCAGTCAAGGCAACTGCTACGGTGCCTGCGATGTAGGTGTAGAAGATGCGCTGAAACGATTTCTGCTCGCGCTTCCAGAACACGAATTCTTCACTTCTCAGCAATTTGTAGATTTCATGCCGTTCCAGCTCATCTATGAAGGCAAAGGCCTCTTGGCGTCTGTGCCAGATGTTGAAAATTTTGATGAGCATTACGAACACCGTCAGCGCCATGTATAGAACATTGCCAGCCTGTGTCACGTCCTCAGATCTAATCACTTCAATCCACATCAGCGCTGTGCAAGTGCAGCTCAGTGGTAGATGCAGAATAAATGGATAGATTTTCCTCACTATCTGGCATCCATTGTCCTCATTTGGCCACTTCCAGAGGCCAAACCAACGGCTAACTGTAACTATCTTCCGTATGGCCAGTATGCGGTCCATAGTATCTGACATTTTCCCTAAAACTCTTAGCAGTCAATGCCTAGTTAGCAGCTAGAAATTAGCTGCTTTTATAGACTTTGCGGCTTCGGTTAAACATCATGAAAATTTTATAAATGCCTCTCAAATACAACTTGTATATTCAAAACTTCAGATGCCATACTGTCTCTTTCTCTCTCTCTCTCTTTCTCGCCCTACTCCGCCTTCCTCCATGTCAACCCTCTTTCAGTTACAGTGATTTCATCGAGCTTACTTTAGTTCTCAGCTGAACTGTTATACTTGTTCTAGATTGAATCTAAATCACATTAATTGCAATGATTAATGTGAGTTTTCGTTCAAAATGAACTAGTTTCGTTCATCAAGAGCTGCCAGCCCTGCTCGCATTTCTAATTGCTCGTCATATTTACGTATTTAAAACCAAGTTCCAATTACAATAATTAGCTCGTTGACATATTAAATAACCCTAATTGTTATTAATCGTTTATTGACTGAGTCACGCGATTTCTCACTGATAATATTTTCAAATACCATTCAGTGCTGGGATAACTCTGGCCTTAACAATATATGGCTCGGCATGAGCACACCGGAGTCTCAAATTAACTGTTTCTTGTAAGAAATTTGATATTTGGAAAGTCTTTATCAAGTGTTTTAAGCTTGATATGCTTGATATATGGAATAGATTATCATCTCAATATCTATTCTTCTATTCCCATCCGCTCTTTATACTTTTATATAAAATTTATGTTATAAATATATGTCATAAATATATCTAAGTTCCAGAATTGCATATATGTAAAACTTTATCAAAGCAAAATTAAATTTTGTCATCATCCTGCCATATATAAATTTTGATTTGATAAGTTTCGTGTAGTCCTCAGCCGTAATAATAATCATAATATCATAATCAGGGATGAACAGGGGCATAAACAGACATATTCCTGAACTAAAGGGAGTATAGAGCTTTAGTATTTCACTATTCATCATTCTGATTATTTATCAGAACACATACCTTCTTTTACCTTCTAAAGATTTGACAGATATTTACAGATGAAATACTCCATAAAAACTAGAATACAGACAGTAGACAAAGCTTGTTATACTCATTCACGAAAGTGAATCAGTATATTGGTTTTGTGCAATGTCCGTCTTGCTGTCCGTCCGTCTGTCCGTCTGTCCGTTCGTCAGTCTGTCCGTCTGTCCGTCCGTCCGTCTGTCCGTCTGTCCGTATGAACGCAATCTATTTCGACGCTATTGAAGCTAGAGACTTGAAATTTGGAACACATACTCGTGTATATCTCCGATTTATAAAGTGTTAAAATTTTCCCGATCCGCCCACTAGGGGCGTGGCAAATTGGAAAATGCATTTTCCGATATACCAGAAATCATGTTAGTTAAAGAGCTAGAAAGCTGAAATTTGGAATATAGATCCGCATCGACCACCCAAGATCACGAGCTATGGCGGATATATCTCCGCCCATTGGGGGTGTGGCAAATCGGATAAAACTGTATCTCCTAAAGTTGTAAACCTAGGATGCTGAAACTTTGCACGTCAGCTAATGCTAATGAAAATTATAAGCCTAGGCCCATTAGGGGCGTGGCAAATCGGACCTGAAGATATAGTGATTTTTTATATTCTGCTTTATTTTGGACACTATTGATGCCAGAGACCTCAAATTTTGTATGTATACTCGGGTTAATCACCCAAGACCATAAAGTTTTGTCGGATATATTTCCGCCCACAGGGGGCGTGGCAAACCGCAAAAGTTTATATCTCCTAAAGTATAATAGCTACTAGCTTTAAATTTGGATAGTTGAGTTACTGGTAGCCTCCTCTATCGATGCCTCAAAAAATAATTTTTACGCCTCTTTAGGGGCGTGGCATATCGAAAAATACCCTGTAATTTTCACATTTTTTGAGCGTAAGAATTCAAAATTTGCATTTAGGTTACCGGTTTCTCGTTCTAAGAACTGGCTAAAAATGAGGAGCCTACGCCCAGTAGGGGCGTGGCAAATCGAAAAAACCTGTATATTCTATAGTATTAGAGCGAAACTTAACTAATAAATTGTTGATGGGATGTGAATGAGTATTCCGCAGTCGGTAACGCCCGACTGCAACGTTCTTACTTGTTTTTTAATTGCATTTTATTTGTTATATTATATAATCAGATTGCAGAATTCACAAAGTAATTAAGTTTTCTTCGAAGCATTGAGGAGTAGGGCAAAAAAGCTGTAAGCATTGTTCATGGTCTGCAAAGGAAAATGGAATATATTTCTATTAGGAATACTTAATAGTGAATATGGAATATCTGATGACAACCTTAACGAAAATGGGCAATCCAACCTCGAAGAAATAGCCAGCCCTAATCTTGGTAGGTTTCTTGAGGTGCTCCATGTAGGCGATGAGCAGCTGCCGGCTGCGCTTGTCGCACTGCGGCCAGTTGGTGTTGTAGACGTCGTTGGTCAGCTGATGGGCATAGACGGTGACCTCGTTGCCGAAGTAGCAGGGCAGGAATATCTCGAGCACCATGACACTGAGGAACTGCAGCATCGATATGAACTGGCCCGGATTGGCGCGGATGCCCACGTGCTGCAGGCGATAGCCGCTGAAGCAGATGATGAAGGCGCTCAGCACGATTTGGGAGAGAACGTAGGGCGAGACTAAAGTCTCGATCTGGAAAGTTAAGCTGAAGGAAAACAGAGATTAAGTATACGACACCTCCTACTCAACTCAATTTACTTGCGTAGGCGATTGTGCAGCTTGAAAATGATGACCAATTTCTTTTTGAATTCCGTTTCACTACCGATGTACTCCAGTCCCCTCACTCGGTAACCCAGCAGGCGATAGAGCAGGGATAGGTGAAAGAGAAAATAGCATCCGAGTGCATCGAGGCAAACATTCGAGACACTCGTCACAGTCATCCCAATCAGGCTGTAGCCGTAGGCATAGTAGTATCTGCGCTCATTGCGATACTCGAAGGGCACAAAGTAATCAAAGGGTAGCTCGTAGTCGTGCAGAAACAGAACGCCAATGCAGCTGCTGTAGACCACGCCCAGACTCGCGAGCAGAAACAAATAGAAATAGCATTTGAAGAGCCTTTGCTGCTGCTGCCAATAGCTGTGCTCCTGCTCCGACTGCAGCTCGTAGTCGCTTGAGTGCTTCATGTGGCCCATTATCCGCCGGGCAGCTGTGCTCCGATACCAGATGTTCAAAATTTTCACAACCAGCGCGATTTCTGTCAGCGACATGTAGAGCACTTGGCCGGCCTGTTCCAGGTTGTTGGACACAAACGCCTCCAGCCACATGAGTCCAATGAAAGTGAATGTGATTGGCACGTGTAGCACATAACGATAGTTGACTTTTAGGAATACCTGCAACGGGGGCTCTTCTCTGGATGTCGACAGCGGCCAGAGTCCTCCAAGGCGCATTATCCTCAATACCCAGTTAATGGCGTCTGTGCGCTCTGTTTGCGTAGTCATTTCTAGTCGAGACGGTGCTGAGCCGAAGGCTTTTTATACCCACACAAAGGAAACAATTAAAAGCAATTTGTCTATTATAAATTCGGCAGCTGACACGAAAAGGGGTTTTAGGTGAGCCAGGGGGAATACAGAGGAATATAAGAGCTAAGATTATATGGGGAGTTTATGACCCTGATATACTCTAGAGTTTATTTATAGTTTTCGCTTGAAATCATATAGGGTTCTTCTATACAAACAGACTGTATATATGCCATATCAGATATAAATATTTGATATATAGAATGTAGTAGAATCAGCAGAGCTCGGCGAGATCAATATCAGTATCAAATTATTATTAATCTGGAATGAGATATCGAAGAAAAATATTTAACCAATACTGCGTTTAACATATCACAATATGTATACAAAGTTAAAAATGTAATGTTTAGATAGTTCTCAAGATTAGCGTACAATCAATGATTAACCGAAAAAGACAATATCGAATTATTTTTATCATCTTAATGTTGCATATATACATATGTTCTATGATGTCTTGTACACCTTCTACTACTATTACATACAATCACTCAAAACCAATATACGCTTCGTATAGATCCCAGGGTATCATTATAAATATAGTATATGAGCTATAAACATTACCTCTACTCCATTTACAACTCTCTCATATAGGTGGCGGCATTTAGTCTTACACTGGAGTCTCGTCTCGGAACATGTCGCACTGTTCGCCATTTTCCTGGGCCTCTGGACATTGGCCATGGCAATACTGCCCAGCTATGCGGCGCCAAGTACGACCATCATGCGCATCATATTACTGTTTGTGGGTGCACAAATAACTGGCATACTGGTGACCTTCATTCATCTGCCCGACATGCTGGGCATGCTCTTCTTCGGGGTACTCTACACCAATGTGGGCTTTGCCAACTTCGAGGGCTACGAACGCTTCGAATTGTTTTTAAGGTAAGTGTGGGAGGGACTAAAATGGTAAGGTATAACAGTTTTGTATAACAGTTATGCTTTTGAGATTCTTAAGGTAAATAAAAATGCATAAATCCCAGCTTCGATAACAATAATCGATAGATAAACATCAGCCTTTGTTATAAGCTCAGTTTTCAAATTTTTGCACATGCATGTATAACAGTTTTGTAACGCTTTCTAATAGAGTGCCATAAAATAGAAAAAAAACGTAAGCTTTATTTGCGGGCGTTAATGTGTAAAGGATATTAACTGCTTTTGCTTTCAAATGCTGTTATACGCGTGTATAATAGTTTCATCAAATGCATAACCAACAATAGTGAATCCCTTTATCAGCTCTGTAGTAAAGTGTTCTTTGTGCTCTTTTATTGCAGAGAATTAGCTTTGATAAATATTATGCTGTTGGCTGGCCTGGGGCTGGATGCTGGCGCTTTTCGTCGATTGTGGCTAATGATACTGCGACTGACGTTACTGCCAACAATAGCTGAGGTGGCCATAATAGCCGTGCTGGCCTACTTCACACTCTCCATGCCCTGGCTGTGGGGCCTAGCCCTGGGGTAAGTACAACATGAACAGACAAACTGAACTGAAGATGACAGACAAATATATTTGTACATATGTATATATGTATTTATGTGGGTTGTTTATCTTCTAGGCTGGTCATCACGGCCGTCTCGCCGAATGTGGTTGTCACAGTCATGCTGAAGCTGAAGGAGGATCGATTGGGCCTGAACAGCGGCATTCACACACTCATCTATGCAATGACCACGTGCAACGATGTCGTGGCCATTTTCCTGTTCGGCGCCGTTATCAGCATGATATTCTCAACAAGTACGTGACAGCCGAATATGAACTGTCTGTATGCCTGCCCCTGGCAAGGGGTACTCACATGCTTGCTTGTTTGCCTGCTTACAGACCCGCTGCTGCAGAAACTATTGCAAGGACCCATTGGTATTGGAATTGGACTTGTTTTCGGCTATCTATATGGCATGCTGTTACACTATTTGCCATCGCGAAATGCGGTAAGCATGGCAGCCACTGAATGTCTATATGCACGAGGGGTGCTTATACCGTTTATGGCCTAGTATAAAAAATCCGAAGGAATTTTGATGAACTACTGTTTGGATACTACTAAAATTGTCAGAGAGTTCCCTAAGCTAACTTTGAAATGACGATTCTATTTTTATTTTTTAATAACAAATTAGTTTGAGGCAGAGGAACCATAAATTTGTATTCTTATACCTCGAATTCATTGAAAATGACTATTTAAGTGGCATTTATGTAATAGACAGCAGAATTAGAATTACCCCATAAAGTATATGTAGCAATGCGTTTTATGTCCGACTGTCTATCCGTCCGACTCTCTGCCCATCACAGATCGCACATATTGTCCGACTGAATGTTTATCTGATGAGCTCTAAAAGCTAGAGAAATGGAACTAGAAAATCTGTTTTCATTGGTATCGATAAAAATCGATCATTTTAAATTATCTTATCGTCTTAATTACTGTAGCAAGCCATCTTCAATGTTACTCAAAATTATATAGGTAAAAATGACATCATATAAAGTTTAGACTAATTCAACATAGATCCAATATTGTGAATAATATTCACTATATCACTGTTTGAAGCTGTCGAGCTTTTTCGACAACTCTGGCTCCAATCATTTACGAAGGCAAAAAAATAAAACCAAAACGATATAATTTAGCTTATTATTTATTAATTTAATGCCGAGTCTGTGGACACTGTTTAGGCAAAGTTATTTCGATGCGAGGGTGACAAGTTTGTAGGTGTTGCGCGAATGAAGACTATTTTCGTACAGAGTTTAAAAGAATATAAATAAAGAGGAGTATGCAATTAACAGAGCGGATGAGATTTACATATGTATGTGTGTTATGCTTTGTTATGTGCAAGAGTGCACTAACAGCGAATGAGAATGACAAAGGAAAGAGATTAACTTAAGAGAAGCTTATTTAACTATTAAGAGCAATTATTAGCTGCTGCGCCGAACATCCTCCCCCACCGTTAAAAGACCATGACTTTTAACAGGATCATCAACCGGAAGGACGCACAGCTTATTGACAGCTCGACGTGTAGTTCCAGTGGGTGTACGCAGAACAGCGACTCTCACGGCTCCATCGGCTCCAGCGATGATTTCAACGACCCGGGCTAATGGCCACTTCAAAGGTGGCAGGTTTTCGTCTTTTACACAGACGACATCGTTGACCTTGATAGAAGGCCGTGGGGTCCGCCATTTTACTCGCTGTTGCAGAATTGTGAGGTATTCCTCACTCCATCGCTTCCAAAACAACTGCTGTATGTATGTCATACGCTGCCAGCGATCGAGGCGATTGCAGTTAATCCGAGATAGATCTGGTTCGGGGAAGTCGATAAGTGGTCGACCAATCAGGAAATGCCCTGGAGTGAGAACTCCAAGATCATCAGGGTTTTCTGAAATTGGAACGAGAGGACGAGAATTGATTATAGCCTGAATTTGGCACACCAATGTGCGCAGTTCATCGAAACCAAGAAGTGCCGATCCCATAGACCGATATAGGTGCCTTTTAGCTGTCTTCACTGCTGCCTCCCAAAGACCGCCAAAATGTGGCGAACGAGGAGGTATGAATTTCCAATCGAAGCTGTTGTTGATGCAGTAGTTGTGAACTTCAGTACGATGTTCCTGGCTCAAAAATAAACGCCTCAGATCCGCCAACTCGTTCCGTGCACCCACAAAGTTGGTTGCGTTGTCTGACCAGATGCATGTTGGAATGCCGCGCGTACTGACGAAACGCTTGAGGGCGCCCAAAAAAGGCAGCTGTTGACAGATCCTTTGCAAGCTCCAGCCATACAGCCTTGGTTGTGAAACAAACGAACACGCAGACGTAGCATTTTACTGATGCTCTATTTCGTCCATCGGGCTTGTAATAAAAAGGTCCACAATAGTCAACTCCAGTGATTGTGAATGCCGGTGAGCACTGTGCACGCTCCTTAGGCAAGTCTGCCATTATATGCTCAACTAGGCGAGGCCGGGATCTGCAGCAAATTATGCATTTTCGCAATTCTCGGGCAACAGTTTTCATTCCGCCTATGGGCCAAAACTGCAATCGAATAGCTGCAAGCAAAGCCTGCGGTCCGGCGTGGTGATGCATTTGATGAAAATGGGATATTATAGCGAAGGTTAAGGGATGGTTTTTGGGTAAAATAATTGGGTGACGCGCATCGAAGCCGAGAGTAGAATGCCCCAAACGACCACCAACTCTTAGTAGACCAAAATCATCCATAAACGGAAATAGCGAAAGAATGGCGCTTGACGAGTGTATATTCCTTCCATTCTGTAGGGCAGAGTATTCCGGTTGCAACTGAGCTCTTTGAGCAAGACGACATAATAGGAACGATCCTTGACGCAGATCATCCGATGATAACTCAGGTGATTTTATTTTCCGGATGAATTTATGAACATAACCAAAGATTCGCTTCATTATTCCGAATGAATTTATGTACTTGAATGACAAAGAGATGTCCACATGCTCTGCCGACAGCAAGACTCTTTGACGCATTTCAGGCAAGCATGCTTCAGGCAAGCAGTGCCTAGGCCAATAACATTTTTCCTCTTGCAAAAAAGAAGGTCCATGCATCCATAATTTCGAGTGCAAGAGCTCTAACGGTGCTGCTCCTTTAGATAACATATCTGCAGGATTCATCTCAGTGGGCACGTAATGCCACTCCATGCCGATTGTGAGCTGCTGTATGGCACAAACCTTGTTAGCAACAAAAACATTGAATTTGGATGGCTCTTCCTTTAGCCAAGACAAGACCACCGCTGAATCTGACCAGCAATGCATCTCACATTTGAACAAGTTCAGTTTCTCTATCTCGCTTATCAAGTTCGCAAGCAGAAATGCAGCGCATAACTCAAGCTTAGGCACAGTGAGGGTCTTTAGTGGGGCGACTCTAGCCTTGGAACAGAGTAGATGCACTTTAACAGCATTATTCTTCGATGACCGAACATAAACACAAGAGCCATAGGCCTGAAGGCTAGCATCGCAGAAGGCATGTAATTCAACTCTTGCTTTAAGTTCGAGTACATAACGAGGAAAGGTTGCATTGCTCACTTGATGAAAGTCCTTACAAAATTCGCTCCAAATCGTTTCCAATGATTGTGGTAGACTCTCATCCCATTGTAGCTTGTCTCTCCACATGCGTTGCAAGATGATTTTTGCCCTAGTTAATGTTGGTCCGATCAAACCTAACGGATCGTAGCATCGCGCAATGGTTGACAGAACTGAACGTTTTGTGTGTTTTCCAACACTAATTTTGGGCTCGAAAGTGAATACGAAGCTATCCTTTCGAGGCTCCCAGATGAGTCCAAGAGTTTTTGTCACATCGGTCCCATCGCCGAGTTTGAGAAAACTCTCCTGCTCGATTTCTGGAACTCCGCGAAGAATGTTGATTGAGTTTGAGCACCATTTTCTCAATTTGAAGTTGCCTCGCTCAAGAAGATTTTTAGTTTGTTCCATTATGTCGCGAACTTCTTCAACTGAATTGCCTCCTGAGATCAGATCGTCAACATAGAAATCTCGCAAAACAGTTTTAGCTCCTAGGGGGTATGATGACGACTCATCCATTGCTAATTGGTGCATTGCACGAATAGCCAAAAAAGAAGCGGGCTTGGTCCCATAAGTAACGGTATTCAATTTGAAGACTAGAATGTCGTCGTCTGATGAGTTTCGCCATAAGATACATTGAAGCATTGCATCAGGCTCTGAAACCTTCACACACCTATACATTTTACTAATATCACCTGTAAGTGCAATGGAAAATGTGCGGAAACGAACGAGTGTGTGAAACAATGTGGCTTGTATGGTCGGTCCTGACATAAGAATATCATTTAATGAAAGCCCAGATGTGGTAACAGCCGAACCGTCGAATACCACTCTCAGCTTTGTTGTCGAACTTTCTTCCTTGTATACACAATGATGAGGCAAGAAGTATTTGCATTTAGAAATCTCTGCGCTGAGCACCGGTGACATATGGCCGAGATCAATATATTCTTTCATAAATGCAGAGTATTTTTCCTTCATAGCATAATTTCGAGCAAACTTACGCTCCAAATTTAAGAGCCGACGCTTGGCCTGCACATAAGAGTCGCCCAAAGATTCGAAGCCTTGCTTTTTTGGCAAGCAGACTAAGTATTCCCCTGAAGACAATCGACGATGAGTTGCGATGAAATGCTGCTGACAGTGGAGCTCCTCTGTTGTTACCTTGGCGATAGGCTCGAAAACGTGCTCCACTTCCCAAAATTGACGAACCAAATCATCAAGCCGAGTGCTGAGATTGGTATCATCGGAAGCTCTTTGAGTTACGATGAACGATGAGAGTTTGGGGGCCGATTGCCCGCCACCTGATATGATCCAGCCGAGTTGAGTTTTCTGCAAAACTGGCAACCCAGGTGCCAACATAATTTGCCCAATACACAACAGCTCAAAGAAAAGACCAGCTCCGATGAGAAGATCAATTCGCTGTGACTTATAAAATAAGGGATCAGCTAACTTTATGTTTGAGGGTATGTTCCAACTATTAGTAGACATTGAAATTCCAGGCTGATTATCAGTAATCGTCTTGGCGATGATTGCGCTGATGGTAGTTGAGTAATCTGAAATCCGCGATTTCAGAACGAGATCGACTGAATATCCTTCAGTTGAGAAGCTAGCATCTCCAATGCCAGAAACTGCACTAAGCGACTTTCTTTTTCGGAGCTGAAGCTGATTAGCGAATTGCGTGGTAACAAAGTGAAGTTGAGATCCTGAATCTAAGAGTACACGACACGGAACGAATGTTCCAGCTCGATTCTTAACAAGGATTATAGCAGTGGCTAGAAGCACAACATCAGACGAATGAGGCGACAGATGGGCTTGAGGCAAAGAAGGTGACATTGCAACCATAGCAGAGGAATGTATTGCATTTGTTTGTTGGACAGTGTTGGATGTATCTACTGAAGATTGATTGTAATGCAATAAGGTATGGTGCTTCGATTGACAAGTGCGGCAGGTACTAGATTTGCAATCTTTCAGCTGATGCCCCTTTCTTAGGCAATTTAGGCACAGAGCGAGTCTCTTGGCCTCCTTATGTCGTGCAATGGGTGGCAATTGCTCAAAACGCTTACATTGAAATATCATGTGGCTCGTGTCTTCGCAAAAGACACAACGACTGGGAGCTTTGGAAGCAACAAATGATTTTCTTAAATATGTACTCACGATCTTCCCTGACTTGCCAACCTGACCATCCTGCAAAACTTGATCCACATTTTCAAGCATTCGACACCGCTCTTGCAAGAACGTTGACAACTTGGCCCACGACGGTAACTCATTTGCTGATGATCGTTCCTCCCATTTGGCCTGAGTGCATTTGTCCAATTTCTGCAACACTGTTTGCACGATGATACAATCAGCGACTTCTTCCCTCGATGCAAGAGAATCCATAGCACGAATGTGAGATGTAACCTTATCCGCCAACTGCCTCAGTCTACCCACAGATGAATCTGCCTTCTCAAGCCCAAATATCGCTCTGATGTGTGCCTGTAAAATAAAACGTTTATTATCAAATCGACGTTGAAGAATATCCAGAGCGACGCTATAGTTAGCCCTATTTATTTCCAATGAGCCGATGGTATCCAGCGCAGCACCACTTAAGCAGGACCGAAGATGTTGGAGCTTCTCAATAGGGCTGAGCTCAGAGTCAGCATCTATGATCGTTTTGAACATAGAGAAAAAGTTTTCCCACTCAGTATAGATTCCACTAAATTTTGGCAATTCCAACTGCGGCAAACGCGACCGATTTGACATAATGAGCACTGGATTAGCATTTGTAAAGCTTGTATTAAGTGTCGAAGAAAACTGTTGATTTGGCCGACTTCCCAGTTCACGTTGAAGCAGGGCCTTAAACTTCAGTAGAATTGATTCAAATTTCGCAGGTAAATCACTGGATATGGACTCAAAATCTGATTCTTCTAAGTTCGTGTGAACCGCATCGAAATTTGACTCTAATTTGGTGATTGAGTCCAAAAGTACACGTAAATCACACGAATCCATATGGCTTAATTTGTCCGCGTCTGATTCGGCATATAGTCTTTCGAGTCTATCGAACAGCGCTTTCGTTTTACGCTTTAGATAAGTGACCTGAGATGCAGGAACTTGATCAGCACTCGATTCTAAATTATTCATTTTAGCCACAAATTTATTTGTTTTATGTTCACTTTTGAAAGAACACTTGCAATTGCAAAGTTAATGTACAAGCTAATAGTTCCACTTATGCACATATAATTTATCTGCACATTTTATATGCAAGCCCACTGTACGTATATACATATGTATGTACGTGTGTGATCGAGACAACTATTTTCGGAATAGCTGAGCAGACGCTACATAAAAGGCGCTAAACGCGATGATCCACGGACGAAAGAAAAATGATAAAGATAATCAGAATGCAAAGCCACTGCATGCAGATTATCTGAGCTTTGATTTATGTATGTGTGTGTGTGTGTGTGTCTTCTACGATTGACACAGCTTTTTAGGTTTGCGCGCTTTCTATGCAGATGCAGCTGAGAAAGCGCCAACCGCGACGAACGAAACGGCAATTAAAAGAGGATGCAAGAAACTCAAGACAATTGCGTACACATACATATAAGCAGTTCGAACGAAATGTTAAATGTTTTACAAGGTTGTGTCACAATGAAATTGATAATTTGAATGCACTATCTTGCACAAATGTTTTGTAAATTTCACTGATGAGCGACGCCAAGATGGTGTAATAACGTTTAACGCGCTAAGCGAGCACCACAGAGTGTATTAGAAATCACGTCGGGGTCACCAAAATGTTTGAAGCTGTCGAGCTTTTTCGACAACTCTGGCTCCAATCATTTACGAAGGCAAAAAAATAAAACCAAAACGATATAATTTAGCTTATTATTTATTAATTTAATGCCGAGTCTGTGGACACTGTTTAGGCAAAGTTATTTCGATGCGAGGGTGACAAGTTTGTAGGTGTTGCGCGAATGAAGACTATTTTCGTACAGAGTTTAAAAGAATATAAATAAAGAGGAGTATGCAATTAACAGAGCGGATGAGATTTACATATGTATGTGTGTTATGCTTTGTTATGTGCAAGAGTGCACTAACAGCGAATGAGAATGACAAAGGAAAGAGATTAACTTAAGAGAAGCTTATTTAACTATTAAGAGCAATTATTAGCTGCTGCGCCGAACAATCACAATATGCTACATTTTCCAAATAGTATTCAATCTGGATCCCGATTCTAGATTCTAGAAGAGTAACAAATGCATTCATAGCATGCCATTAAAAACTTTATTCAGTCACACATTCCATCCCTCACTCTGCTGTTACTTCTGTGACCACCCTCGCAGCTATAGTTGACTTTCACTGCATCACGCTGTTCAGTGAACAGTTCTACACACTCAATCAGAGCATTTAATGGCATAAAACGTGGCGCTCAAAAGTTTCGCTCCTTCTCTCTCGCATGTGTGCTGGAACTGCAGCTTCTTTTATATAACATCTATATGTATATAACAGAATATGTATAACAGAAATTTGTGAGTCTTTGCGTCCGTGTCCATGTCCATGTGCGAGTGTGTGTGCGTGTGAGTGTATTTTGGGCGCATTTTGCATAAAAATACACTTAGATTCAAAGCGACGACGCGTCGTCGACGCTGCCACCGAAGCTGGCGACATTTGCGACGACAGTTACTGCCGGCAACATCCCTGGAAACTTATGACACAGCTGCACGGGGCTAGGCTATGCTTGGCTATGCTGTGCAGCCGGCAGTCGGTGCTAGCTGAAGTCGGAGCAGGAGCTGCAGCTCTTCCATTGCAGCCACAGCCACAAAACTCATTGCTGCAACTTACACCGCTAATGGTGCGCATAATCAAACGCCATGGGTGGCACTGAACTGCCTTTTGAACTTGCACGGAAATGCATATGCCACCATCTCTCTCTCTCTCTCTCTCTCTCTTCCTCTCTCTCGCATACATAGACCACTCATAACTTTTGTTTTCCTCTGCAACATTTCCACTTGCCACAGAGCAAAAATTGCTAAAGTGTACAAAAATGTCATGCTGTGCTCCACGCTTGCTGCTTCTCCACTCTTAAGATTCCTGCATACATTCTATTTATTGTCACTGCGTGTGTGTGTGTGCGTGTGTGTGTGGGTGGGTGAACGGGCGTGCCTGACTGTGTGTAAGTGTCTCGTTTACAGCCAACACGTTCTAGAAAACATTTTTATTTTTTAACTAGAAATTACAGCTTTAGGTATTTAATACACTGTTTAAAAAATTAAGCGAGGGGCTAGGTTTTACGATCGCTCTACATAGAGAACATTTTTAACTATATGATCTTTCAAAATATGAAATCTAGAGACGGAAGAGTATATATGTACATGAATGCCTAGAGCAACAAATTCGTTGGTAACTTACTTTACTCACAATTTCATTTGTCCTGCAGACTTTCCGTCCGAGTTTCTATGGGTAAACTATACCAAGGCAGCCTTTGAAAAGTTAATTCATATTTATTTTTGGTATATTCATAGAAGGCACAGATATATGATATTTTAAGACAGGAGAAAAAAGCTGACGTATTCCAATCCAATACGAATGAATAGAATAAAATAGAAAAACAAATAATTTATTCACATCAGATCAAAATTTGTATAACTCTATTTAAAACTAAAGAGGAGACGTGTTGCGTAGCATATATTTGTAGAGCAGTAAAAAAGCATAGAATTGAAATGAAAGTATTACAGAAGTAACCTGAAAATGCATGTAAACGAAAAATATCCTTGGCTGTAGAGTCTAACGTGAGGCCATGCATTATCAGCCTTAATGTCCTAGGCGAGCATAATGAAATTGAGAATGAAGCGGAACAAAATGAAATTTTATGAAGAGCTATACTGGTAACTGCGTTGATTTTCCTTTCTGCTAGCTCGGAAACAAAATTTTCACTCATGTTTCTACTTTATCTCTTCCCGTCTCATCTCTTTATTAGGTCTATGCGAACGGACTGCGCTTTGTCCTGACTGTGCTGGGCGGTACAATAGCCGTGATGGGCAGTCGAGCTATTGGCTATACCTCGGCTGGTCCTCTCGGCTGTGTTATGCTGGCCTGCATAGCGGGCGTCGGCTGGAAGAGGGAGGTGCTCAAGATGACGCCACAGCAGCTGCAGGCGTATGAAATCGTAAGCTCGCTCAGCTCGGATTGGAGCTGTTCAATTCGGAATTTGAATTCGAGTTCAAAATTCTATTCAATTTCTAGGCAAGTGTGCCGAAGCGTCTGGATGTGCTTTGGAAATTCCTGAAGCCCGTCTCATTTGCGCTCATTGGCAAGGAGATCAATTTCGCTGTGCTCGAAGGACGCGTCATTGGCTACGGAGTGCTGCTCGTATTGCTCGGAAGTTTGGTAATTGGCTTTGCCTGCAAATTGCGCTCATGCTGAAATACTTTAAGATGCAAATTTAAAGCTCTGTTTTCCCTTTTGATTTGCTTCTTTGCAGGCACGCTTGGCTTTTGCATATTTATCTACATATGGCGGAAATTTGTCGAGCAGGGAGCGTGCCTATATTACAATTTCCGGTTTCCCCAAAGCAACTGTCCAAGTAAGTTAACATATTCAACAACAGCTACGGCGTTGCGGCTGCTCTACGCCATAGTGTGGCACAATGTAATAGTGCAAGTTTTTCAATAGCCCTGTAGACTTTGGTGTATGGGGTGTTTTAGTATAATGCATATCTGATAGGCAGAATAAAATATTGCTGAGCACGGCAGCTGAAAAATATATGATAGAGCAGGGTGAAATGAGTTGCTCTAGGTCTGAGCAGCTGGCATATACTTGCGTCGATCCTTGGAATGTCAACAGCTATAGACTTGAAATGTGATATGAATATCGTAATATGCCATACGTCATACAATTATTTTATTTTTCTTCAATATCTTAACCCGTTCTCATAATATCGATACAAAATCATATTGCTTGAACTATGTTGACTTTTATAGTATTTTTTAAGGAGTACACAAAATATAATATAGGGCTAGGGTATATGCTAGTCGTGCACAGACCTCTCCAGTCATCATACTTGTTTCAGTTTGGCTTTGGTGCCGGACATTACCAGTACCCCTGTCTTTCTTGGTCAGCCATTATTTGGGTTATGTTGTTTTCCTCAAAAACCCAAAGTTATTCGTATTTTCGCATGATCATGTTGTTGCTGTTGTTGTTGTTTGTGATGCTGCAGCAGCAGCTCTTGACAATTGTCTGCAGTTGAACCGCAAGAGGACATTTTGTTCACATTGTGAGTCTGTGTGTGTGTGTGTGTGTGTGTGTGTGTGCCTTGCCTTGCCTTTGCTTACGCGCTTATGTGGTGTTTCCCTCTTTGTGGTTGGCCGAAATGAAAACGTTACATTCGCTCACCTAACTAACGGCTGTTGCTGGCGCGGTTTTCCCATGCCTCTCTTTTATTGCGGACTCATTCAAAATAAAAAAGTTGGGAGTGACCGACTAGCAGATACCTAGTAATATGTGTAGAGAATATAGTTGAATAATTGTAGACTTATTGAGTACATACATATAATATAGACATGGCACATTGGCAATGCCTGTAGCACTTTAGTGTGATAACTAGCTTGATTGAACTCAGATTCTACTTGTATGATATTAGTGAAATTATCAGGATTTGACTATGATGGCTTAATGTGTGTGTGTCCTAAATATCAAGGATATAATATTTGAAATGAGTTCTATTTGCGCAATCTCGAAGTGATACAGGATAAGTTCTATAACGATTTATAAATATAAGCCCAGCAAACCCTTTAAGTGTCTCTGCCTCAGCACTATTATACCCTCTATACCCAGCAGGGAATAAATTATATGTATGAATAAAAAACCTCTAACCAGGGCTTTGTGTACTACTTAAATGTTGCTTAATAAGCGGTGTGCCAAGTGCTTCGGAATGTAAGCTTTTCTCGAAATGAAACCGCCTTTCATATGCGAGATTTGCAAGCTAAGCTTGCATATTATATTACGTATACGCAGCGTAATTGTTTATGTAACTTTCATTCCCTCTTCTTTGCAGGCTGCCTTGGGCCCCGTCGCCCTGGATTTGGCTCGCTCGTTCGACGGCACAATTGACATGTCCCTGCCCAATAACGTGCTCATCATTTCGGTGCTGGCGATTATATTCACAGCGCCATTGGGCGCCATTTTGATGCTGCGCCTGGCGCCGTTCTGGCTGAAGCGCGGCGATCCCGTGGATACGGCTGAGTCACCTGTAACGCCAATCGAACCAAAGTCACTAAATAATCTAAATGTAGCGAACTCTGAGAAACTCTGAGCGAAAGCAACTGGACATTTCTCTAGTGACATATCTAAAGTAACAACTCTATCTATAGATAGCTTTCTATGGTTTTATATATAATTAAAATAACATAGTTCAAATAGCTAAGCTTAAGGTGAGGGGTAGACTCTGTAAGTGTAAAAGTTTATCAGTTGTCATAGATTTATAGATATAGCAAATACATTACATTTTCCTTTTGTATATTCTAAATATTCCATTCTCAACTTTGCATTTTCTTTTGAAGTTGAAACAGAATGGATTTACCGTCTTTTCGACCTGTTTTTCTTGTTGAGATTTGAAGTCAAATTCAACTCAATTGCGGTGCATTTTCATCTCATTACAAAGCACGCATAAATTATCAGAATCTCAACCCTAAGCCCCAAAAGACCTTAAAGCCGACGGCATCTATAGAGAAAAACTTACCCAAAAAACCTTCGCAAATTTAATTGTTTTCATTGAATTGCTAATTATGATGGGATTTGTGTTAATCTGTGAACTGGATTATAATAATTGCTCGGGCAATTAATTTAAAGGGATTTGGAGGGCTTAAGCATTGTCAGCGCTGTTTGTTTATAAATATTTTGGTGTGTTTTGCCGCCTGCTGGAAACAATATATTAAATTAATTTCTCTTGGTAGCCGCAGAGAAATATATTTAAAATTCGGGCTGAGTGCAAAATATGTTTAGAATGATATTTGCGATTGTGGATTTTGGTTAGCTTTAGTTGAATTAAAATTGAAATTAAAACCGTATGTTCTTATGGCAGTTTATCGATTGGCATATGATATTGTGTAGCTGACAGTAATTGCTATACATATAACTATATAATTATCAAAACATTCACTCTTGAACACTAAAAATTCTCGACACATTTTAAGCATAATACCAGAATGTTCAAGATTCAAGCTTAACTTAGAGTCTTATGTAAATCTTTGAATACAGGAAAATCTTTTATGAAATAACAATACTTAATTACTTAAATCATAAGAGTTCTACCAGTAAACGAGATCTGAAGGTCAAAATATAAACAAATATCTACTATCTATAGTTTTTACGCAACTTCAAGGCGAAGTCGCATAAAATCAATTATTTCAACTATTATTATAAAATATTTAGACACATTTGCATATAGATTAACAAAGCATAAAATGTGTTTCAACAACAATCGCAGCTTGGCAAGTTTCATTCTGCCAAACATCCCCAATGTCGCCTTTCGACAGCTCCAACTCCCTTAATGAACCGTGCGCTCTGTTATATACTAAAAAAAAAAAAAATATAACAGCTCTCATATAAAGAATTCGAGCTTAACAAAGCAGTTAATAAGCATAAAGCAAAACAGGAATTCATCAGCGCATGAATGTTTTGTGATTCAGTTTTATTCTCCATTTTATTTCCTTCAATCTCGCTCTCGCTCTCCCTCTCCCTCTCGCTCTCTCAGCAATTTGTGGCATAGAGCAACAGCGAGAGCTGCAAGCTGAAGGTAAATTAGTGTTATTAAAATAGTTACATTGGAATAATTGCGCAACTTAATGAGAGTTTTAATGAAAATGCTTTGGTTTTGTTCCTTTTTTTGTATTATTGTGATTTGCTTTCATAATGAATACTGAAATTTATAGATTAAACTGTCTTTGTAGAGCTCCGACGAACTGCACTGAAGTTTACCTTTGTTACTCTGGGAATGTGATTAATGTTTGTGGATTTTGCTGACTTGAATCAAATCACTTGATTCATATTGCTATGCTCTGCATATGCATTGAAGGCAGAAGAGGGCGTGGCTGTTAATAGGGCAAAGATGTACCCCAATAGCAGCTGTAGAGACACCGCTTTTTTTATTATATCTCCCACATTTTTAAAAGCAGAGTTAGTAAATTTTTTATTTAATTTCTTGAATTGGATATAATTTTATTTAATTTTTTTTTTTTATATATTTTATTTAACTATCAAAATCAATAGAAATATATCATATGATGGAATTTGAATTTTTGAAATTTTTCTACATATTCAATGGAATATTTTGTTGATATGCTGAAAAATTCATAAAAATGCATTAAAAAGCATAAAAGTTGTTGAAGTAAACGTGAGGCCAGTTGACAAAGCCAAACAGCTCTGGCATTTGCGCTATGCGTGAGCACACACACACACACGCACACACACACTGCCATTCATTCATGCAATCTTATTGGCATTCTATAAATAGAATTGCAACGCTGATTGAATTGTATGTAAACTGTTGGCTGATTCTTTAGTTGGGTATTTGTCGCTAAAAGGATAAGTGTGGGAGTGGCGGTGGCGACGTCAGACGAGGAATTGAGCATTGAGGAGACTCTGGCTGGAATTTCAACTGGTTTACTGACTAGATTTCTTTTTACAGCGACTTCTATGCTATTAAATTGTGAATTATTGACTGGTTAAAAAGATAAGGGTCTATGCTTATTGATCACAACCCATAGTACAGCTACTCAGCTATCATTTGCTTTACTGCTGTTCGGTTTGTTAAACGACTCTGAGTCTCTTGCCAATGCACAATTACCGCTAAGCAATTGAGTTATGCTGCCCTTCAATCACACTCAAATGGCTCTTTGGCACGCCCGCTGGCCTAATCCTGCGACAAGCGCTGCCTTATCGCAGCTCATTTGAATTCCCATGTAATCACATATATATACATATACT